TGAAAACAAAAGTGAAGGAGATAAGAAGATCTCCACAGAGGCTGATGCTCCAGATCAGGACACAAATCCTCCACAAAGCAAAGCTGCAGAATCATCTGCTCCTGCCAGTGAACAACCAATTATCACAATGAAACCTGACAGTTCAGAGGGCAGAGAGAATAAAGATGTACGTGACGAGTCGGTGACAAAACCTCCTGTCCCTGAATCTCCAGCTCCCTTCGGCTGCCACAACATCTGCACACAGGTGAGCCTGGAGGTGGTGCAGTGTCAGTCTGCAGCCACCAGCCCTATGACCCCTCCTGAAGGGGACCATGCCTTCTACTTTCCAAGCTCCATTGGGAAATGTGGAGCTGTGGGTGCAGAGACTAAAGACGCTGAGATGCAGGTGAGTCGACAAGTGGAGTTTCGTTCAGTTGCTACAGCGCCCATGACCCCGAGAACGCCCACCGCCACAACGTTTCCCGAGGTCATGAAGGAGGCATGTATGGAGGAGAAGATTGTGGAGGAGGAAGAAGTTAAAGACAAGCAGGTTGAGAAAGAGGTAGAATGTGAAGAGGAGGAGAAGGTAACTGAAGAGAAGAAAAAAGAAGCTGAAGAAGAGGAGGACCAAACAGAATCAGTGAACTGTAAGGAGAAAGATGAGGAGAAGTGTGAGGAGCCGGTGCAGGAGGTGAGCTGGGACGAGAAAGGGATGACATGGGAGGTGTATGGGGCTGTGTTGGAAGTGGCCGTCCTGGGCTCAGCCATCCAGAAACACCTGGAAAAGCAGGTGAAGAAGCAGAAACCGTCCATGCCGCCCCCGCCTCCTCTCAACCCCTCGGCCATGCCCCTCACTTCAGAGGCCTCCCAGGGCGGGTCAGGCTCAGGGTCGGGCAAAGGCCGGGCCGGGAAGAGAGGGGAGCGGGACGGGAAAGTGAGTCGACGCAGGAGAAACCCGTTCCGTCAGCTGATGGAGAACATGCAGCAGCCTCACTGCTGCTCCAGAGCTCACACCACCGAGTGACACGAGGATCAAGCAACAGCTGGCTGAAGGAAAAAAAATCATGTGACATCTGGTCGGTGTGGCTGTGATGCTCAGTGAACATTGTCTTGAAAATGTGAGAAGAGAATCACGTCCTCACACGAGACAAAAAAGCACAAAAGCATTTAATACACATCAGCCATTGAAGGTTTTTTTTGTTTCTCTTTTATTAGATTTCCCTTTTTCACAGTTTTTCTGGGACTTCTCTCTTTCTCTTTAAAACCTGCCGTATTGACCATGTTTGGAAAAATGAGGGTTTTATGTCATCATTAGCTCTTATCCATCTCCTGTTTTTCACCAGGACCTTTCAATCGTACACTGAGTCATTTTAGCTGCTGCTTTTTTTGCTTTCTTCGTTTTATGCACCTCAGACAATGCGATGCCATGGCAACCAGTGATCCTTCTCCTGGTTGCTAACAAGCTCGGCACTGAACAGCATCAACAGAGGGAGAGATTACTTCATGTGACATTTTATTATTATATTGTGATTTATGACCTCCTGCTCAGTCAGCACGTTTTATGGGTCGTTTTATTTCGGACATTTGGAAATTTGAATTGATCTAAATGTTTCCTTGTGTGTGAGAGGAGTCTCTACCATCAGCGCTGGCTTTTTGTATGTCTTATATTCCGCTTTTAGATTTGGCAAAATGACTTGTTTTTATTATGAAAAATGCATAAAAATGTACTGATGACGAGCACAATCAGGATCATTTTGGAAAAGCAATGACTCATGTTGTTACCACTTTACTGTATTTTAATGCCATGGTGAGTGATTGAGTTGTAAATTTTGTGATGAAACTGTGTTTTTAATTCAGAGGAGGTTAAAGTGTCAGTGATGATGGTCTTCATACATTCGTGGGCTGATATCCACACTGGAAGAAAATGGTTTTATTCACAGATTGCACTTGTATTACATTCATTTAGATGTCAGTGAAATGATCCGTTCAATCTGCTGCTTGACGTCACAAAGTGTCACTGCATGAGGTTTTATTTCTGCAACATGTGTCTCAAATCCAGGGTAAACTCTTTTAACAGAACGTTCCCGAGGTTAAACCTTGAGGCTGACATGCAGGATTTCATTCATACAGGATGTTGGATTCTTTTGAGTACCTCTTGTTTGATTTTCTTTCTAGTAGCATCAGCTGTAACAAAAAAAAACTTACATTGTGTGTTGGCATATCATATAATACAGTTAATTTCAAAGCTAATCGAACAATTTTCAATCCATTGCTTAATATATGAACAAAATAAAGTTATTCATGTGTGCAACAAGTAATGGTTTTGTTTTTTTTCTGTTGATTTAGTCTGGATTCTCTCGGCCTAGATCAGGAGTGAGGAAACTTTTTTCCTGTCAACGTCTATTTAAATTTGCGTAACATCCTCTGAGGGGCGTTATAAATTACTGACACATATATATCCCTCCAACATCCAACCCAAAATTTTCTGTTATCACAAAATATAGTTGCTCTCATGGGTGTTCTTTGTATTTATGAACAGCCTCGGCTCTCAGGCAGGATCAAACTGTATCAAACTGTATCAAACTGTGTCGTAGTCTGAGACAGTTTGTCTCCCCTCATCTCGCCTGGATACTGTTTTTGTACAGAGACTTTTAAAGGAAGAGTTCGACATTTTGGAAAGTCGCTTTGTCTCGTTGCTGAGAGTTTGATGAGAAGATGAATACAACTCTCAGCTCTCATCATTAAATATGAAGCTACGCTTAGTTGTGCTTAGCTTAGAATAAACTGGACACAGCCGTCTAATGTTCAAGAAACATTTGTGTGAATTACCCAATCATCTTAATT